TATTCTTTATAGATTTTTACTGTACATTGACATACAACATTTGGCGTTAATAAGTACTGAAATATGTAGGAAGTACAATAGCCTTGCACAATTGCATCTAAATCAGTTGCCCTGTGTATAATAAGCGTGATTTAGATAGGGAAAAGCTTAATGCCAAGTACAACTGCAGTGAAGTACAACATGGACATTGAAAATCATCATACGTATGTGCATTTTTTCTTGTCAACATTTGTTTGTTGTGCCATCAAAATCATATGGCTGGAGCAGAATGTAACTTGGCATAGAAACACTGAGTACAGGAAACTAGGAAACTAGCAGCCATGTCTAACTTTTCAAACCAGGCAACTCTTAATCGAGTGGTGAACATGACAATATAATAATCCCTCTGGAGAAAGAAGGATACATAAATTTTACAAAATTATAAACACAGCTAAACTGATCCTCCGGAAAAAAAAGATTGCATTCTCAGCTCTGTTCCGCCAGAATCTTTTTTGTCTGTAGGTATCATTGCAAACAAAAAGGAACATTTTAGCCATTTGCCAATGTTTTATGATCAGAACTCTGCTATTTTTCCTTTCTGCTTTTGGTAAAAAATATGTCTCTCATTCCAGATTTCCAGTAATTCCAAGATACTCTTTAGGTCATTTTTAATATGTGGACTCGATTCTTACTAAGACAGCCATTAAAATTACTCTTCTTCTGTTGAAAACTTCAGTATTTTGACCTGTTAATCACGCCTTAGAAAATAATATCATCCAACTGTGTATCTCTTGGGGCAGCTCTGAATTAAAGCTATGACATACAGCCAATTTAATTTATACACACGTATGTTATATATTATACAGTACATTTATATATCTATGTATTATGTACCATGCATGTGGTGCTATTCAAAAGCAAAGAAATGTACAACTTGAAGAGTCGGGAATTTTTTATACCACCTTGTTTTGCATTTGCATTCTACTATCAATAATTTAAATATATTTGCATCTGTATTTATTTTGGCTTAATTGTCCTTTCTTATTATGGAGCAAAAACCTTCCATGATTATGGTTATATTGTAGGCTACAAATATATTGAGTCCTTGTATTTTTTTTGCTTCTTGCCTTTGGCACAGGCTATTAGGCAATACACGCATGGGATGACAAAAACCCACTGTTTTCAGTCTACCAATGTCGCTTATTTAATCTTTTCCTGCTGACTTCCTTAACCTATATATGATGTATTGCAACCTGCTCTTTCTAACATTTTGATCTCTTGCTATTTAGCAAGGTCTAAACCTTGTCAACTTTTCTTCCAGCTTGTAAATCTCATGCTGTGTAAGAATAGTTTCTTGTAAAATTGTATTTCCTGAATAATATTGCATTGGTTAAGCAAAACTTTGCACCATCCTACAAAAATTCTTTCTAATCACTTTTTGATCGGCCATCATTCAAATTAGATATTCTTGCTCCATATACAACATAATTGTTAACTTTAGTGATGTTCTTCATCACCGTGCATTGGTTAGGTTATCCTCTTTAAAATTAGCAACATATGTCTTGTGTGTTTTAAATCAACAAAGGCCAACATTCAATCCTTAGAAGTTGGAGTTAGGCCTTGAGAACTAGAGAGATCAGCCGCATTTTTTGATGATTGCTTTTATTGCTATAGTTGTCATTTTACATTTGTCAAAGCGTGATACTAATTCAAGAATAGAAACCAAAATAAAAACAAAAAAAAAAGAAGATCAATAATTAATGTTACTAATAAATGAAATAGTTAGTTTTTGTTTATTAGCTTGGACTTCTGCCAACTCATTACCCTTTCTCTGCTTACATTAAGTCTGTTTATCCTTTACAAAATTTAAATGTCATTTTACCTTCCGATTGAGTCGGCTTGTTTTTTCTTCCAAATTTTTCTTCTACAAAAGATCAATTTTTATCCATGTCAACTTTACTGCTTAGCTAATTTGCCAAAGTATTTTTCTCTGCAAGAGTTATTCTTGTCTATTGCTGCTTGACATGTAGTTTTTTCTGTCTCCCAGCTTTCTCTGTGTTCCTTGCAGTGGTTGGAAACCTTGTGCAAGGTATGTTTGTTCTCTTTTTTTCCATCTACTGTATAAATTGTAAGTTTTTTCACCCTTTTTTATGCTTTTCTGTGTCTTTTATTCTGTATCAATTCTCTGTTTTCTTTATCATTTTCCTCAATCTTTCCTGTTGATTTATTAAATTTCCCTATCATAGTTGATGTATACTTCATAGGTATCTATGATTTAAGACAAGCTATGACAAGCAGCGATTAAAATACAACCATTAACTCAAAACAATAGTGACCTTACATCCATGAAAGAATCAACAAAAAAAATTGTCTTTTCATTATAGAGAATATATCTAAGAACATTAATCTGTACATAGTTCATAAGACAATAGTTATTAATTATTAAATCACAAAATAGACAGCTTTACCTTCTTCAAATATTAGGATCTAATTTATCTGCAACAATATAAAACTTAATAGGAATACTAGGTGGACTTGTTCAACTATACCAATGTTAATATCAGAAATAAATGAACAGCTGCTAAAGTTTTTTATTCATAAGGCTTCATTCAGTGGCAGCATAAACACCATCCATTAATAGAGACAGCAATTCTGAACATATTTCATATCCCATACTCAACACTAGATAAGAATAATCTTTTTCAATTGAAGAAGAATCTTAATTCTTTTTTTAATTTTTAATCTTTGAGGAAAAAAAGGCATTATTAGTGCAGAAGATATGCAATCTCAAAAGCACAAGATATGCAATCTTTTTCAACAAACTTAGAACAAATCTCTAGCAAAGAGTTAAATATACAATCTCAAAAATATATATCAGTGCAAAAGATAAGAACCTCCAATTTGCACTGAGTGATGTTCAAATTCAAATACAGAATTATAGATCACAAAATAGTTCATTCAATCACCACCACTATCCTTAGGCACAAAACAGCTGCAAAAAAGATATTGCAACATCTTCTAGTATTTCAATCTAAAATGCTTTTTTTAAAAAAAGAATTTTACAGATCATGTGTCTTTCATTTTAAGACTATTAGTAACCATTATCTAATCAGTCCATTAACATAATGCCACATGTCCACATAAGTTAAACCTTACTCAAAGGTATACAGTCAGAATACTCAATTGATGAGCTAATAACATTCTATGGATCCTTTCTTTAACTAAGCTAATAACATTCTATTGAAAGGTATCTTCTGCACTGAAGTAGAGAGAGAGCCCAAAAACATCAGTGCACAAATTACAATCTATTTAGAAGTAGAGAGAGAGTCCACAAATTGAACCCTCCGAAATTTAACATGTACAGCAAAAAATATCATACAATTACTCTATATGTATGATATAAAAAATTATAAAAAAAAACCCTTAACTCTTGAAAACTCCTTTGACTAACAAGAGACAAACATAAATTAAGGAATGAAAACGTAAACAGAGTGAATAAATGTTATGAGTACTTTGCCGCGTTAGTGTTCATCCATTACTTATTTTTAGTTCCAGGATTTTGCCTTTTTAATTTTTATTTGATGTTTGTGCTTTAATGGTTGTGCAACATACATTTCTCATGCTTTAATATAGTAATATAGCACTGCTTTATTATCTATGTTATTCAATTATCTGCTACTATATCTATTACTTGTAACATTTCTAAATAGAATCTGTCGATAAATTAGATGGATAGGAATGCTCGTCGGCGTAAACGCTATGCAGAAATGTCATCTGCTGAAAAGGATGCATTGCTGCTACGCCGACGAGAGGCTTATGCAGCAAAGAAAATGAACTTGCCAAATATGACTTGCTCCTCCGCTGCTCCTATTGGAGCACCTACCTGTAAGAGGAATCAGAAACGCTATATTAGTAGGACAGGTTTAGGCCATGTTGAAACTGGAATTTGCTTCCCCGGACCTGAGTCTGAGGCTCAGGCTCAACAAAAACGAGCTGAACCCGATAGTAGCTGTTATAATGCTAAGGCTTCTGTTTCTGCTACCACTACTACCACTACTACCACAAATTCTAAGAATCAGTCCTCTTCTTTTCAAAACAATCCTTGTTTAGATGATTCGCAATTAACTCAGCTCTTTGAATCAATCCTCAACAAACTTCATACTGACCAACCTGCTTCAAATCCTGGCGCCTCTTTTAATTCGGAACAAGCTTCTGCATTTGCAGACCATATGCACATTTCTGATTCTGGAGGTAAAATATACTTCTTTTTTGAACATCCTCGCTCATCAATGTCTTTTAGCTCTTTCCTGTGCTACACATACGTAATAAAATTTCCTCATAATCTCCTTTTCACGTGTACACCAATAAACTCCTGGCTTGTTCCCTTTTGTTTATGACTTTATCTTCACACAATTTTCCTATTATATGAAGGTTCATTCTGTGCAACAATCCCGGGTCCTTCTTCGTCAAAAGTTAAGACATTACAGCATGTGTTAATCAAAACTAGAAATGTGCCAGAGAATTCCTCCTCTTCTACAGTTAATAGAATTGCAGGTGATCAGAGTTCTAGAAAAGCAAGACAGCCTTCTACATCAGGTGTTATAGATTGTTTAGCTTCCTGATAAACCTCCAGTTTTCCTAGCTTTCTTCTTTTACCTTTTACTAATCTTCCAAATGCCCTTCCTTCGCCAGCATCCAAGTCCTCCCAATCTACTGCAGTGAACAAACCTCCATGCAAAATAGGTTGCTATTCTATTTTTTTCTTCCTGTTAGTCATTTGTAGCTGCCATGGTTTAACAATACTAAAGTTTTGTTTTCTTTCAAATCTCTTTTATTTTCTCCCAACATCGAAAAAAAGAAATAGAGGTCAGCAAAAACTATCTCCATTAGATTCGGTTCCAACTGAATCAATGGTCCTTCCTGAAGTTTCGAACTGCCCCCACTGTGGAGCAAAAAAATTTCATCTAGAACCAGCTAACTTTTGTTGCTACGGTGGACAAATTTCACTCCCCTCTCCAGCAATGCCTTATGACTTATATCAGTTGCTTACTGGGACTGATGAAGAAAGTGTTGAGTTTCGTAAAAATATTCGAACCTACAACAACAATTTAGCTTTTACTTCGTTTGGAGCAAAATATGACCATGAGCTTACCAAGAATATTGATGGTGTCTATGCATTTCGTGTTCAAGGCCAAGTGTACCATTTTCTAGACAGCTTAGCCTCCTCCACTGACAAATTCTCTGGGATTCAACTTTACTTCTTTGATACAGAAGAAGAGCTGTCAAAGAGGCTTAATAGCTCAGAAAGGTTTCGTGAGAGCACTCTTAAACTATTGATGCGGATCCTTTCCAACAATCCTTACAGTAGATTTTTTAAGGACTTACGAGATGTTCCTGATCTTAACAATCACAATATTGTCCTTAATTCTAACCCGGGTTTGGACCAGCGTATTTATAATCTTCCTACATCTTCTGAAGTAGCAGCTATTTGGACTAAAAATAATGATCCAATGCTTGACCCTAGTGCTCATATTCAAGTTTATAGCCATTCCAACAGTAGCCATCGTATCAAGCATTATTACGGCTGCTACGATCCCTTACAATATTCTCTTTTATTTCCTCGAGGTGAAACTGGCTGGCATCGTGGTATTAAAAGAAATTGCCCAACTAAACAAAGTTATGATGTTTCTTCTCATGATGATAATTCCCTTGATCCTGCCTCAGCAAAAAACATTCCTCATTTGCTAAATTCGGAGAAAAAAGGCAAGTTTCTAAATAAATTCTGGCTTGCTTTTTCCAAATTAACCTATTGCCACTATTTTAATTCATAGTTTTCCATCTTCTTGACACTTATACAGTTGCTGCTGATGGGGAAAAAAGCACAAAAAATGTGACTGCAAGAGAATACTACTGTTATAAATTTCAGATGCGAGATAATGACAGATCCATGCTGCTTCATACTGGCAGACTGTTGCAGCAATTTGCGGTAGACATTTACATTAAAATAGAAACATGTAGGCTAGATTATTGTAGGACGCGACAAAACGAAGTTAGAACAGAAATATTACAAGGAGTGATTGATAGTCTTTCAATAGGTGAAACAAGTGGAAATAGAGTTGGCCGAAAAATAATTCTTCCTCCTTCTTTTATAGGTGGCCCTAGAGATATGCGTCGTAGATATATTGATGCAATGGCTTTAGTGCAAAAATATGGTAAACCTGACTATTTCCTTACTATGCCCTGTAACACAATGTGGCCTGAAATACAACAGAATTTAAAATATGAAGATAAACCACAGAACAGACCAGATCTTTTGTCTAGAGTTTTTAGGTCAAAATTAGAAATGCTTAAGAATGAATTAGTTAATAAGCACATTTTTGGTGAAGTGGCTGCTTGTGTATATGTTATTGAATTCCAAAAAAGAGGCCTTCCACATGCTCATATACTACTCATCATGAAACCAAATTATAAACCATTAAACCCAGAAGCATATGACAAAATCGTGTCTGCCGAAATACCAGATCCATCAGAAAATTTTCATTTATATTCTTTAGTTATTAAACATATGCTCCATGGTCCTTGTGGGGAATTGAAAAAAAAATAATATTTGCATGAAAAATGGAACATGTAAAAACCACTATCCTAAACCTTTTGCTGACTTTACTACACACTCAGAGGATGGATATCCACATTATCGTAGGCGTGATAATGGTAGGTCTGTGATAGTCAGATTGCATGAACTAGATAATAGATGGGTTGTCCCCTATAATCCTTATTTGCTTGCTTTATTTGACTGCCATTTAAATGTAGAAGTTTGCTCAACTCTTAAGCTTGTTAAGTACCTATATAAGTATGTGTTTAAGGGACACGATCTGGTAAGTTTTCAGATTACACCTAACAACAATAGTTCTGATGTTGATGAGATAAAACAATTCCGGGAAGGCCGGTGGGTATCTCCTCCAGAAGCTCTTTGGCGGATTTATAGATTTCCTACTAATGGTATGAATCCATCTGTTTATTCCCTTCCAGTTCATCTACCTGGACATCAACTTATTTCATTCCACAGGCATACAGACCTTCAATCCCTTATCAATAATGCTGATCTTTCAAGGACAATGTTAACCGAGTTCTTCCAAATGAACAGAACATATACAAAAGCCAAGAGTCTAAAATGCTTTTATCGTGATTTCCCACAGTACTTTGTTTGGAGTTCTAAACATAGAATGTGGACTGAAAGAAAGCGTGCTTCAGTCATTGGGAGACTTGCTACAGTTAGCCCAAATGAGGGTGAACGCTATTATCTTAGACTCCTTCTCTCGCATATTGCAGGGCCAACCTCATTTGAGGACTTGGTTACTGTTAAAGGCATCCAACTTGCTTCTTATAGAGAAGCTGCTCTACAATTGGGTCTCTTAAGCTTTGATAGTTATATAGAAGATACCCTTGAAGAAGCTGCACTTTACCAAATGCCTTATGCTCTCAGATTTTTATTTGCTGTTTTACTTGCATTTTGCTCGCCTAACAATCCTAAGCTTCTTTGGGAAAAATTTGAACCAGATTTTTCACGAGATTTTGAACGGTCTCGAACATATACTGGTTGCACATCGGAACAGATTAAATCTCAGGTTCTCTATGACATTAATAGATTCCTAGAGCAAATGGGGAAGTCGCTTAATGAGTATAAATTAATACCAGCCTTTTCAAGTATTACTCACCAGGAGAAGATTACAAAAGAAATTTTAGCTGAGCAAAATGTTTCCTTCCCAAATACAGACTTGCTTCTTGCTTCTAAATTAAATACTGGACAGAAAAAAGCCTATGACATTATACTCAATAGTGCTTTTTCAAATGCTAGACAAGCTTTCTTTGTTGATGGTCCGGGTGGAACCGGTAAAACCTTTTTGTACCGATCACTTCTCGCTACACTAAGATCACAGGGCTATATAGCTCTTGCTGTAGCTACATCAGGAGTAGCTGCATCAATACTTCCAGGAGGTAGAACTGCACATTCAAGGTTCAAAATACCTCTGGATTTATCTGCTGTAAAAACCTGTCAGCTTAGCAAACATAGTACAACCAAGTTGATTCAACAAGCTAAGCTCATTCTTTGGGACGAAGCTTCTATGGCTAAGCGTGATACAATAGAAGCATTTGATTCCTTGTTAAAAGACATCATGGAAAATGAAAAGCCCTTTGGTGGTAAGGTTGTTGTTTTTGGTGGGGATTTTCGACAAACGCTGCCTGTTATTGACAATGCACCAAAAGAGGTGCAGATTCAGGCAAGCTTAGTAAACTCACCTCTTTGGAGCTCTTTTCATAAACTAAAACTCACAGAAAATATGAGAGCATTATATGATCCAGCTTTCTCTAATTTTTTATTAAGAATTGGAGAAGGTACTGAACCAATGGATGAAGCTGGAAAAATCACCCTACCAAATGATATGGTTATTCCATTTGCTACTAGAGAAACCTCACTACAAGGTAAGAACTGATGCAGTTTCTAAGCATTGCAGCCAGTAGCACCTTTCTTTTTTCTTATTTTATATCATTGTTCTTGTGAATGAATTAACATTTCCTCCTAACAATCCTTTTTTCTCAACAGCTTGCTCAATTCTGTTTATTCCGACCCGCACCTCTATTCAGAAGATCCTTATAAGTTGACAAACAAATGTATTTTATCACCTACTAACAGCTCTGTAGATGACGTCAATAATATTATGATAAACCAGTTTCCAGGTGAAGCACATATTTATACAAGTACAGATAGGACACTTGATGAACGCTATCAAGGAGACTATGAGGATTTCCTTAATTCCCAAAATCCAAAGGGCCTTCCACCCCACAAATTGATTCTTAAAAAGAACTGTCCTCTGATACTTTTAAGAAATCTCAATCCAGCCGAAGGCCTTTGCAATGGAACTCGTTTAATTTGTAGAGAATTGAAACCAAACACTATCTCTGCTGAAATTGCTGCTGGTCCCCATAAGAGGAAACAAGTTTTGCTGCCCAGAATTCCTCTGCAAACTCCTGACAATGACAAGAATGGCATTCCTTTCAAGAGGATTCAATTTCCTGTTAGGCTTTGCTTTGCAATGACTATTAACAAGGCTCAAGGACAAACGCTTGATTATGTAGGAATATATCTTAGAGAACCAGTTTTTTCTCATGGCCAGTTATACGTAGCCCTTTCCAGAGCTAAGACTTCTGACTCAATTAAAGTGTTGATTGTGCCAGGAACTTTTAGTGATACCAAAAAAGACTGCAAAACTAGGAATGTAGTCTATCAAAAAATTCTGAGCCTGTCCAAAGCATAACATGTATTACCATCTATGTATGTATGAACACAGCTGTTGCATTATTACATTTAGTCCATATTCTCTTATCCTTTTTACTTACCTTTACAATTAACTTGAGCTTGCTGTTATATTATTATCTTTTAACCAACCTTATTGCGTCATTAATTTTCCCATAGAATGGATGATTGCTTATCAATCGAAGAGATTCTTCCAGGAATGAAGTCTTGGTCAGCGAAAATAATTGTTCAAGAAAAACGTCAACCTGCTACAGCAAGTGCTTCGCCGACTAGATATCAGAAATTAATCTTTGTCGATGCAAAGGTTCAAAGCTTCTTTCTAGAATAGCTTACTCTCTTCCAAATTGTTGTATTTCCTTTTTTTTCGGCCTTATAATCAGTAGCATAATATTTTACTGATATCAATACAATTGTAGGGATCTCAAGTTGAAGGAATTCTCTTCAATCATGCCATTCAAGTTATGGGGCCACGTCTCACTGTTTTCAAAAGATACAAAATCTCAAATGCTGAAGTTCGGCTTATTGATGAAAAATACAGAACTGATGGCTTAACTACTCAATGGGTCATTTCCACCAAAACTGTTGTAGAAGAGCTGCCTGATGATACTGATATGATGCCTACAAGATTCTCCTACACTATGTTCAAAGATCTTGCACAGTTTATGGAGCAAAAGAACCAATTTGTTGGTTAGTAACAATACTGTATATTTATCTGGATTATCTTTCTTCTATCTTAACTGCTAATTATTGCTTGTTTCATTTCTTAGATATCCTAGCTGTGGTTATTTCTGTATTACCAGTGACTTCTTTCACAAACGAATTTGGAACTGGAAGAGTACAAAAGTTTGTAGTCATTAATGAAGAGTTAGTAAATCTACAAATATTCATTTTATTCTATATGTCCTTTAATTTTTCACCTCTTTATCTTATCAACTAATCAGTAATATATTCTATTCTCACTGAAAAACAACAGGAAGCTACCTCTCCAACTATCGCTATTTAATGAATTCATCGATAATGAAGGCCAGAAAATTGCTGAGAACATGAACAATTTTCCAGTTATAGTTTGCAGAAGGCTAAAGGTCAAGCCTTTTAATGGTAGTTATATCAACTATCTTATTTTACATTTACATACTATCCTTTATCTTACAACTATATTATCCTCCCTCTTACTCTTAACTGAAATTACTGCTTTGTACTTTTTTGCAAAGGGATTGCTTTGTCTACTAGGAAGGACTCAACTATCTTGATTGATCCACCCATTCAAGAGGCTATGCTGCTAAAAAATTGGTAATCTCTATTTTTTGCTTAAATACTTATTGAAAGACTCTCCTTCTTTAAATTTTAGATCCTTACAATAAAGAAACTATCACAGGGCTACAGAAAATGCAATGTTGTTTGTACAAGTCATCAAAGATAAATCCTATGCTCGATATAATCCTGACCTTTTCACTCATTCATCCCAGAAATTCACGCTTATTTACTTTCTCCAATCAACTCAAAAGGTAATAACATACGAACTTATACTCATCACCCTTTGCCATGATTATATACCTGATCCTTACGACTTTCTTGATTTAGTTTGCATGGGTGAGAGCTTCTATGTCATTTGAGAACATTTTCCAGCGCTATTGGTATATGGCGTGTAAAAAAAGCTTCAAAGCAATAGATGCTTCGTATGGATATTCATACTCATGCAATAAATGTTCTGAGCATCAAAAAGCTACTCCAAGGTTTATTATATTTATAGTTGTTAATTTACTCTTATTCAAATCATTTGACTACCATCACTGATATTAGAAAAATACATTCTAAAACAGGTGCCGCTTTGATGTTATCCTTTCTGATAAAAGTGGAAGAGTGACTGCAACTTTGTTTGGTGATTTAGCCGAAAAACTTTTAACTTATTCTGCCTTGGATGCAATGCAGTACTTTCACAAAGTAATTTCTTCTTAACATCTATAATACTTATACAGCTTTTACTTTCCCAAATGCACTTCAATAATAACATTTTATTGATTCTTCATTTTTTCCCAGAACATTGAGCTTCCATTAATGCATGTTCACGAAGCTTTACGGGCTAAAGAATTTGCAGTTCAAATTCAACCAGCTGCCAGCCATTATGGAGATCCTCAGCAACGCTATACAATTCTTCACTACTACGAGTCAAATTTTGCTGAAGCTTCAACCCAGCAAACTATTGAATCTCCTGGTTCTTTCTTGCTAGAATCTCCCCTGCAGATTCCAACTGCTGAAACACAGGGTATTTTTCCATAATTCTAAAGTTATTCAGCTAAATGCTTGTTTTATTATAGAATTCCCATTAATTTGCCATATAACATCGATGTTACCTTTCTTTTTTTCTTATATTCTACTAACACAGATGCGCAGAGTCCTATCACAAGTGTTCAGATTAATCTAGCAAGCAAATTTGATGAAGCAGCCACGCCTCAAGCAAACAGCCCAGAGACTAGCCCTGAACTTATCTCTGCATCTAAAAAACCAAAACTAGCTTAATGCTCTCTATATCTTTACTTGTATCTGCAATCGGGCTATTCTTGCTTTTGAACTCATGACTAGAATTTCATTATGTTACTTTTGTAATCTGAGAAATGGCAGGACTTCTAGTCTCCATATGATGTTTATCCATTTCAAAAATATATCTATTATGTACGAACAATGCTACCTAACTATATAAAAATCTTTTTTGTTTAGCTCTTATTGAAGCTATTACAAAACAGCCTGCAATTGTTTCAGGCTGACCTAGCTATTTACTCTTTAACTATTTATTCTTCCTATATAACTGACCATACATTCTATTCCTATAGTAACTTATTGATCCCCGTATTCTTCAATATTAAAAACCAACTAAGCTTTTCCTCCTATACTAGAACTTGGTAAATTTGTTGCAGTTGGTACACTTCAACTTTAGTAGAACAGCTTTTTTATGTCAGATTTGGTAAATTTGTTGCAGTTGGTACACTTCAACTTTAGTAGAACAGCTTTTTTATGTCAGATTTTGACAGTCTGTGACTGATTCTTTTCCAAGTCTTATCGCCAGTTGTTATAACTTGTGTATCTTTCATGCAAGATCTCAAGAAAACTTGTTGTCAGCTATACATCAGGCTTTTGTACTATGATTAAATTTTATACTCTTCAATGTCCTACTATTTAAACAGTTACACTTGTTCTTTACTACAAACTTGCGAACTTCCTCCATGTTACAGCTTTTATAAGTGCCTTTCTTCCTTTACATAAAGAGCCACGTTTCTTCATCAGATCAGACATCTTTCTTCCTTAAACAACTAAGCTCCAGGTAAAAATTTATTCACTTGTTTCATTCCTCTTCTCATCCTTGTTTTATTTCTGTATTAACCTCTTGTTCACTACATTCATACTAAAACTCAACTTACACTGCTTCCTGCTAGCTACAACAAAGGCCACCATTGTTCCACCATGGCTATAAACACTAATTCAGCAAGTTCATCCATACCATCAACACCGCTGGACAATGTCACAGAATGCTGCTTTTTACTAAAATGCGGCAACAAACAAAAGGTTTTCATGTTTACTTTCAATACTCTATAGCTTTTCAACTAATCATATACTACATATTGTTCCACTCGATTCAACCTTTAACAAAAAAAATATTCTGCAGAGCCTTCCAAATGAATTCATCTTTCTATTGGAACATCATAAAAAAAGCAATATTACAATTGTACAAAGCTTCAAGTCATGGAACCTTGAAGTCAATAATGGCAGCTTTGCATCTGGATGGTTGGAATTTACAAAAGACAATCTAATCCATACAAATGAAAAGATACTTCTTCGACACAATGGAGACTTGAAGTTTGATCTAATGTTATTCACAGAGCTCAAAATGAACACAAAATTCCCTTGGACAGTTCCACTTTCTGATATACTAAAGCTACATGTTCCAGGAAGTAACGGTATGTTATGCTCTAATCCTTTTCTGCCAAATTCAAAAAGATTTGCTACAGTCATATCTCACAAATTTTACTGTTTATCATTTATACCAAATAAAAAGGCTAAATACATCTTATATCAACATGTTTGCTCATCAATAAAGCCAAACATTGCTCAAGATGAAGCAGATTCTATAGCTTTTTATCAAGTTTATAACAAAAAGAATAGAGACAAATTTGTAAGTCTATGTGCTCAGTTCTTTTATCCTTTCCTTATCTAATCTCTTATACACTACTTTACACACTTTAACTATTTTCCCCCACCTTTTTCCTTAGAAAATTCCAAAGTTTCTCGAACATATCGTAGATAGCAATAAAACTCCAGTTGTCACTTTAAGGACTGGATATAAAGCTTTTCAAGTTGGAATGCAAGGAAGGCAATTCACAAGCTATTGGGAAATCTTCGTCAAAACGCATGAGTTGGAACTAGGCGACACTTTGGTATTCATCCCAGAGTCCATTAACAGCTTTATAGTCCAGATTTACAAACCAAATGGAGTTGAGAAACTTTTCCCTTGGTATCATAAGTATTATGTGTATTCTTATTTGTAGATTCCTTTCACGTTCTAGCTATAAACACAGAATTCATCTTTTTGTTTAAGTATGTATCACTAATGTCTTTTGTCAATTATATGACAGTATAGATTCTTACTAAGATTTTTGTGCTATAATAGTTAGAGTTTTAAATATTTTATTTACTTTGCTTTTCCTTCTTTATCAGATAGCACCAACGGATTTTTCCTTTTTAATTTATAACCTTTTAATTTACCATGTCATATAATGCAATAAACATAAAAAATTTATCCAACAATCTACATAGATACACATGAACATTAATAACAAATTATTAGACAAACAAACAACTACTTATTTAATAATACCACACCATATAAACTATTAGCAGCAAGCTACAAAATAATAACATCTATCACACACCAATTACAGCAAATTTTTTAGTCATTTTGACTATTGAAACTATCAAACTCTCAAAAGAAAGTAATATTAGTTGCCGCAGCATTTGCTCATCAACATCTGCCTTCATTCTTCAAGCAATTAGCTGCAACATAGATAGACCTCTTATCTAGAGCTCACATCACGTATATATATTGCTACCTTTAATACAAACACGTCATAACAAGATTGCTTATTTTAACCTATCATTTAAATACAGACCTTAATTATGCAAATTAATTTCGTAAACATCTTAGTTATCGATACATTCTCTCTCTTTTACATTTCAAATATCCATCCATTCTAACTAAACTCAAAACAACTATATATTACAATATTTATACAAAACATTATATTTATATTTTTTAAAAATCAGACCTTAATTCAAATCCATCCCTCTTCTCTTAATTTAATATTCCAAAACTAAATTAAATTTTCAGATTTAAGTTTTTTCTATTTTGCATTATGAATGTTTAATTATGAACAAACTCTCTCATTCTATGTTATATATTCATAAGTAAACACCTAGTTTAATATGCCATTAATAAGTAATTTATAACAAGATTAATACTTGTCAAAAAAATCATCTTCCAAATGCTTTGATATAAAATACAACGAAACAAAATTCCAAACAAAAAATTTAAAAATCTTATTTTATCTAATAGCTATCTTATTTCCAAAAAAAAATATTATTCACTTTAACTATTATTCATGTACGACATTCGTACATTAAATTTATATTAAACACTTATGATCTTCTTTCTCAACCTTTGTATATCTACAGTCATTTACTAATATTCATATAGCAACCATAATACAATAAAATATAATTTTTCCAAAGATGAGTGGGCACAAATCTTGTATTACCGCGCAGCGCGCGGCATCAGATTGCCTAGTCACTAGAAAACTGCCATCGTCCTTTTACTGTCCTTCTCCTTAAATCCAAATAAGAATTTTTTTTACCCTTTTTCTTCTTATCTTAGGTCCAAAAAGGCACTTGAGATCCTCGGTGACATGTTTTCTATGCCAACTCAATGCCACCAATAGTGTTGTGCCAAGTGTCTTGTTATTATTTATACTTTAATTTTCTAATAATTCAACTTGGCTTGGTTTAATACAAGTTTAAATAATAACATGACACTTGGCGCAATACTATTGATGGCATTGGATTGGCATAGAAAACATGTCACCGAGGATCCTAAGTGACAAAAAGGACGGGGCACGTTTGGGTGATTGACAAGTCAGACCAGATTAAGCGCGTTTAAAGCAAGCCAATAAATGCTTAAACGAGAATATACCCCAAAGCTGCCGCGAAAACGAGGCGAGGTAGCCCAACTCATTAAGCAAAACTGAGCTACAAACAGAGCCTCTGATTGCCTCCGCGTCGATTCCTTCCTCCTTCTGCCTCTGCCCGCTCGTGCCTCATTGCATTTGCGTGAACATGGAGAACCCAAAAGAGGAAATCGATTCGGAGAAAGAGATGCCAAAAGCGGAGGTGGTGGTCAAGGAGAAGGAGCAAGAGATTATTAGGAGGAGAATGGTTGGATTTCTATCCAATAAGATCAGCAGAGATGAATTAAAACCAGGAGATCATATTTATACATGGCGCCATGGTTATCTTTACTCTCATCACGGTCCTCTTTCCTTTCTCTCTCTCCCCCCCTCTTTTTGGTTTGTTTTGTTTTGTTTTTCATTATTCAATCGTTTTTTGTTCTGTTATTAGTAGCAGCACCAAATTTGGCGTTTCTTGTTTTTCTCTGCAATTGAATTGTGACATGTGCATAATTTTAGATGGTGAGTTTGTTGCTCATTTTGGTGTTTGTTTCAATTGTAAGTCTATCTATTTCATAATTTACCATATTAGGAAAAAATAGTGCCTCTAGCTAGATATTTTATGCTCGTCAATGTCTACATTCTCTTTTGATTGAGTATAGATTCAATTTCTGTTACCAAGTCATCAGTCTTTGTAAACCATTTTGGAATATTTTTATGCAATTATCTCAACCGAATGAGGGAATTTTTGGTGGTGGTGGGGGGGGGGGGCGGTTAAGCACGAATTAGACCGTTATGTATGCAGAAAACAATGATCGTGTATCACACGGAAATTTTGCCCTCTTCTCTTGTAGCCCTTTTCAAATGTTTCTTGATATGTATGTCAATAGTTTCGATGTCTTATAAGTAGTCTACAAGGTTCTCAAATGTATTATTGATGTTTGGCATAGTACATCCAATGTTTGTAGTTTGTACTGTGTTCAGTGTTGTTCATTATGCTAGGGCTTTCCACAGGATTAAGAGGTTTATTGTTGGACGATCATGATGACGCTGACACTTATATAGAATTCCTTGGGACTTTCAGTTGTATGTTTAAGAATCTAAAGTTTCAACCTTTCCCTGTAGTTTCCTAGGGCCCTTGAAGGTTAAACTTGTTATCTTAATAGATTGCCCCATATGAACTGTTTTTAACTAGGATCCCTTAATTTGTTGGTAATTATCAGCTTGGATGCTCTTCTTTTTGTGTATCCAGGACATCCTATTTGTTGGTTTGACACTGGAAATCTAGTGTACACTGTAATTTCTCAT